AAAGCCTTTCTTGTTTTTTTGCCTCTCTGATTTGCTTCCCAGCAATGCCTTCTCCACAAAGGACACCCTCCTCCTCCTCAACACCCTCAAAGTGTCAGTGTGCTTCAGAGCTTGCTGTGTTGGATCTCTGTGGCTAAAGAAGTCAAGAATGTTCCCTGATCTAGTTCCCCTGCTGTCACCCATTCAGGCCCTGGCAGAGACCAGGACTCAAGCAGGTATCTGAAGACCTAGGAAAAAAAATAGATGTTTCAGTTCCTCTCCTTAGGACCCGGGTGCTTGGCAGAGGCCCAGGGTGTCATGAGCTCACCTGTGTCCTTATGGTTCCTTCTCTGGTGAGAGCTAAGCAGCCACAGGCTGAGTTTTTGTGGACTGGGCTGGGACTAGCTGTACACTAGGGATCGGAGCTCAGAGTTTGGCCAGGTATATCTATGCAAGGCACCTGTCTCTCACTGTATCAATATCTGAGAATACAGAGCTGGTATGTGGGAAAAAAAACTCACGCTGGGGGAGCAGCGACAGAAGCAGCCCGTGAGGGCGTGGCAGCGCAGGTAGCCCGTGGCGGAGGTTCCCACATACACAAGAAGGTCTAAGGTTCCAAAAGCTTGGCGGCAAGCACAGAAGACACATGGAGTCCGTGGAAGAAGTTTTATTGTCAATGATGGTAGTTGGATCTGGATGCGAATGTATGCGCCCCCCACCCCAAGAGCCTGGGGCTGAGCTGGCTTATATAGAGGGTGGGAAGGAGGAGGGACTGGGGAGGAATAATTTAATTATCTAGGCCCCCTGGCCTTATTAATATGTAAATCTCTCGAGGCAGAGGCCTGTTAGTCACGCCTTCGACCTGTGTCTTACGAGACTGAGACTGATGGTACAGGTTAAATGGAGATGAGACCGAGTGTCAGGGCCCTGGGTTCTGGGGGCGTGGCCAAACACCTGCAGTCTTGGGGTTCCAGGCCCATGTCAACCCAAGATGTCCTTCTACAGCCCGACACTGGTGGTGTCGCAGAAACAAGCAGCCACATCTGGTCATTGGGTGTGTCGAATCCAAGGGTGGAGTTGAAGGGGGGGAGGAGGAGGAAAGCACTAGCTTGAGATCATGTCTCATGTGAGTCTAACTATAAGAAGGCTGCATACTCAGAGTCCTCCATTCTGCCATTGATGAAATGGGGTTAGAACCTGTTGAAGGTCACCACTACCCAGGGCACAGAACAACAGTTCTGTAGGAGTCACATAGAAAGAGAGGCTCTTGAGGCCCCTCTCCACTCAATGAGACAATTGACAGTTAATGGTGTGGGGGAGGGGTGTAACTTTCTTCAATGATGCAACCCTAATCAATCTCAGTGGAACACACACAAACATACAGACACTATCAAAGTAGGAGGGGGGGCTTGCGAAGATGAAAGGTTTCAACAGGAGTGAGCAAGGGATAATAAAGGGTAATAGGGGGAAAATGACCAAAATGTATCATACACACACACACACATATATATATGACACTGTAAAAAAAGAGATAACAATGATGTATCTTAGAGCCAATCTTCTACATCAAAGGCATGTGATCTTTGAGCTTGTGACTTTACCTCTTTGAGCCTGTTTCCTTATGTCTTAATAAAGGCTCACACACTGGAACGTTTTGTATGTGTTGTATGTGTCAGCTCCTGTTTTGTGGTGTTTTGTTTTATATTTCTTATTTTTTCCTTTTTCTTTTTTTTTTCTTTTTTTTTTTTTTTTTGTTTTGTTTTTGAGACAGGGTTTCTCTCTGTAGCCCGGGCTGTCCTGGAACTCACTCTGTAGACCAGGCTGGCCTCGAACTCAGAAATCCACCTGCCTCTGCCTCCCAAGTGCTGGGATTAAAGGCATGTGCCACCACCGCCCGGCCTTGTTTTATATTTCATCTAAACCTCATAAGCCACTGAGTCAAGACCACTTCGCAGATCCAGGAAGATTACAGGAACAGAAAATATGAGGTTCCTGCTACCTTCTCACCCAGGCTCCAGTATGCTTTTTAAAAAAAGATTTATGTTATTATTTGTGTGTGTGTGTGTGTGTGTGTGTGTGTGTGTGTGCGTGCATGCAGCAGGTAAGTGCAGTACTCAAGAAGACCAGAAGCAGGTGGTTGTGGTGCTGGGAATCAAAGCCCAGTCTTCTACAAGAGCAGCTGGTGCTCTTAACCATGGAGTCATCTCTTTTGCTCTAAGGCCCCACTACTCTTAACCTTGCATTCCAACAAAGTGCAGCAGGTGTTATAGAGAACCTTTTATGGGGTAGGTGGACACAGCCTTGGCATACCGAAGAAAGCTAGAGCAAGCCCCTGCCTCTAAATAATGTCTCACACACACACTGAGATGGAACCCAGGCAAACTACATGTTAGGCAAGTGTTAAATCAGAGCTCCGCCCCTTATCCTCCTCCCCATACATGAGGCTGTAATGAAGTTAGGCGGCAAGACAGAAACTAAGAAAATAGGGATATGCTTCAGGTATGGATTTACAACAAAGGGGAAGGCCATAAAATGAAGGCATATTCAATAGTACAAGGTGGGTGGTTAGGGGAAAAGGTGGTGGCAGGGCTATGATGTAATATGATGAAATGAACCATGTAGCGAGGGCATGGAACTTTTGTGGGGAAAGTATTATATACACAAAGGATCTGAGGCTGAGCCACCATAAGGGAAGGACAGTAGAAAGAACAGTTAGAGAGGGAGTATCAGCTCACATATCTTAAAACCCACACCTCCACATACAGATGTTATGCAGCAGGTATGTGCAGTACCCAAGGATACCAGAAGAGGGCATTAGATCCCCAGAACTAGAGTTGCAGATGGTTGTAAGCAACCACATGGGTGCTGGGAATCAACCCCCACACAAAACCTGCATGCATGATACACCCTTTCTGCCTCCTCTGCCACTATGGCTCCCATGGAAAAGCTTGTGGTGAAGGGGGACCAAAAAGAAGAAGAGGAAGAAGAAGGAGGAGGAGGAGGAAGAGGTTTTGAAGTTCACCCCTGACTGGATCCACCATGTAGAGGACAGAATATGAATGCACCAGTTTGGAGCAGTTCCTGCAGGAGAGACTCGAGGTGAACAGAAAAGCTTGGAATCTTGGTGAAGGGGTTGTGACCATCAAAGTGAGCAAGAGCAAGACTTCTGTCACTTCTGAAGATGCTATCTTCCTTCCAAAAGGTACTTGAAATGTCTCACCAAGAAATATATGAAGAACTAGCTTCAAGACTGGTTGCACATTGTCGCCGACAGCACAGAGCGCTATGAGCTGTTACTTCCAGATTAACCAAAATGAAGAGGATTAAGACGATTGATCTGGAATGTTTTGTATTAATTCATAAATAAAATTTAGGAACAGCAACAACAACAAAGGACATAATGCATTGTGACACCTAGAATACAATAAGTATTCAATTAAAGGTACTTTTATTATTGTGAAAAGTACTAATAAAAATGCCATTTTGTGGTTTGTGTTTGAGATAGGGCTTTGATATATGACTCAGGTTACAAGGACTATCTATAGGTACACACCACCGTGGCCAGCTTGACCATCTTGCAGAGTGTAATTCAGAAACATTTGGTACAGCCGCAGTTTGTTCAACCATCACTGCTATCTTGTTTCAGAAGTTTTTTTTACTCAAAAGAAAGCTTTTACTCGGGGCTGGAGAGATGGCTCAGTGGTTAAGAGCACTGACTGCTCTTCCAGAGGTCCTGAGTTCAAGTCCCAGCAACCACATGGTGGCTCACAACCATCTTTAATGGGCTCTGATGCCTTCTTCTGATGTGTCTGAAGAGAGCAATGCTGAATACATAAAATAAATAAATAAATCTTTAAAAAAAAAAAAAAAAAATAAATAAAAAAAAAAAAAAAAAAGAAAGCTTTTACTCACTGAAAGAAAGCTGTTCCTCTTTCCCCTCGCTCTAAGTCCTAACAACCATTCATGTGCCTCCTACCCCTATGTAGTTACATAATATGGATAGTTCGTAGGAATGGAATCATACAAGAAGGGGTTGTTTGTATCTGGCTTCTTAAGATTTGTTTTTTGCTGGGCGGTGGTGGCGCACGCCTTTAATCCCAGCTCTTGGGAGGCAGAGACAGGCGGATTTCTGAGTTCGAGGCCAGCCTGGTCTACAGAGTGAGTTCCAGGACAGCCAGGGCTACACAGAGAAACCCTGTCTTGAAAAAACAAAACAAAACAAAACAAAAAAAAGATTTGTTTTTTAATTTTTAATTTATGTATTAATGGGGATGGGGTATGTGCACATGAGGGCAAGTGCACATGAGGACAGGTGCCATGGGAAGCCAGAAGAGGAAGTCACATCCCCTGCAGCTTCTTACAGAAGATTTGTGAGCTGTCTGTCCAGTGCGGGTGCTGGGATCCCAATAGCAGTGTGTGCTCTTAACGGCTGAGCTTCTCTCCAGTCCCCATAGATCCTGCTTCTTTCATTTAGCATAAGCTTTCAGAGTTGATTCATGTTGCTGAAATTCATTGTATTTAGATGCCACATTCTCTGTTGAGTAACGGGATAAGTGTGTTGTTTCCTCTTGTGACGATTGTGAGTGTAGCAGTTACGAACACAGTCTTTGGATATTATTTTCCAGGCAACTACTGAATCCTGTGTCATGTCTCCTTGTTTTCTCTCTCTCTGTTTGTCTGTTTGTTTGTTTGTTTTTGAGACAGGGTCTCACTATGTAGCTTTGGCTACCCTGGATCTTACCATGTAGGCTAGACTAGCCTCTAAGATCCATCTGCCTCTGCCTCCTGGGTGCTGGGATTAAAGGCAGGCAGGAGCCAAGTGGAGATCTATTGGACTTTTTCACAATCAGGTATTAGCATTTGAATTGTCATTATGATAATGCTGCTGAATACCTTGTTCCTTCTCTGTTACCTCTAAGTGCTACCTAGAGACCAGCAGGCTGGATTCTGGTACACCCACACACCAGGCCTGTCCTCATAGCCACTGGCCAAACGGAACCCCTCTTGCTCACCCTCTGCAGGTGTTGAGTGACCTGGATCAGGTGCGAATGACCTCTGAGGGCTCTGACTGCCGCTGCAAATGCATCATGCGACCACTGAGCAAGGATGCATGCAGCCGGGTGCGAAGCGGACGAGCTCGAGTCGAGGATTTCTACACTGTGGAGACAGTGAGCTCAGGGACGGACTGCCGGTGCTCCTGCACCGCCCCGCCCTCCTCACTCAACCCCTGTGAGAATGAGTGGAAGATGGAGAAACTGAAGAAGCAGGCACCTGAGCTCCTCAAGGTATGCTGGCAGTGAGGGGATTGACCCTGGCTCTCCCATGACTTCTGTGTCACAGGTTGGAAAACTGAGGCTTCCTGAGTGAAGCCAGCTTAAGTCCGTGGGGCCCCTTGAATCACTTGCCATCCTGGGTATGACCCAAATCACTTCATATGCCTTTACCTAGCTGTATTATAAATACTGGGGCACTTTTTTTTAAAATAGATTTTTCATACCTTTATTTTGTACACTGTGCATATTTCTCCTGTAACACTGGGGCACTTTATTATTCTGTTTGTTCTGTCTTGCTTTTTTGAGTCAAAGTCACACTCTGTTGCCTACACTGGCCTGGAATTCGCTCTATACCAGGATAGCTAGCCAGGAATTTCCAGCTGTCCTCCTGCCTCTGCCTCCCTGAGTTCTGGGGATTCTAGGCATGGGCCACCATTCTAGGCTTACTTTTGTTCGTTTACTTTAATTGAGGTAGGGGTTCATGTATACCAGGCTTACTTCAAACTTCCTATATAGCCCAAGATGACCTTGAACTTTGACCCCTCCAGCCTTAGCTTACCAAGTACTGACAATACAGTGCCATGCCAGAACTCAATGGGCTTGGTGGGGCTGAGATTTGAATCCAGGTCCTGCTGTGTCCAAATCATGCATCTCAACCATACACTCCTGTGTCCTTCTTTAAAGGACCACTTTGTTAGATCTTATTTTATTTTTATTTTTTATTTTTTTGGTTTTTTTTCGAGGCAGGGTTTCTCTGTGTAGTCCTGGCTGTCCTGGAGCTGACTCTGTAGACCAGGCTGGCCTCGAACTCAGAAATCCGCCTGCCTCTGCCTCCCGAGTGCTGGGATTAAAGGCATGCGCCACCACTGCCCGGCTTTGTTAGGTCTTATAAAGGGCCAGAGTATGTCATACCCGCCCCCTTCTATCCCTCTGAGACAGTGTTTCTTTGTGTAGCCCAGCCCGGGTTGCCCTGGAACTCACTCTATAGACAGACTGGCCTCAAACTCAGAGATCCACCTACCTCTGTCTGTCTTCCAAGTACTAGGATTAAAGGCATGCACCACCACTATCCAGCCCATATCTTTATAAAATAATGTACATGAGTGTTTTACCTATATGTATATAAATACATCATATGCATGCCTGCTGTCCATGGAAGCCAGAAGAGGGTGTTAGATCCCCTGGAACTAGAGTTACAGGTGCTGGGAACTGAACCCAGGTCCTCTGTAAACATAAGAAGTGCTCTTAACTGGGGAGCCATCTTTCTGTTCCCCTGTTGCTCTCTTTGAAAGTCTTTTTCTCTAACAATCTCTTCCAAACATGAATCTCATTAGCCTATTTGGTATCAGAGACCATGACAGGTCTGAGATGCTGCTCTGCTTGTTTATAATCTTACAAGTGATGGAACCTTGGATGCTGGTGACACACATAGCCTATTGGGTCACAGTTGACCTCATGACTCTCAACTAATCACCCTTCTCTTTCACTGGCTTGCAGTGTTCCAGCACTCTGTGTTCAGTATGATGTGGGATAGAGGAATCATGAACTCAGAGAACTAACCTTGTATCATTCCTTTTTGGAAAATGCTGGATTATAACCTAAGGCTATTCTCTAGCTAGATGACTCACAAAGTAAGATGGTTGGCTCATTTTCGTGCAAGATGCACAGGGAAGCAAGAGACCCATGGAATACTGTTTCCAGCATGTGGTTAAAAATGTTTTCTTTAAATTTAACTTTAAGTTTATTTTTATACTATGTAAATCCATGCCAAAATTATCAAACTTGGAAGGAGCAGCACATTTTAAGCCACGTGGCCTTCTAGCAGTTTGGCAGTGCCTGGATAGCAGTGTCTCCCTGGGGCCTCCCCAGAATCCCGTGTATTCCAGGCATCTAACCCACAGGCCTGTCTGCAGTTAAAGGGGCAAATCTGGTTTCTTCTCAAGTCGATGGTCTAATAACTGGAGGTTCTATTGTTTCTGTTTTGGTTTGTGGATCCATGACCTCACACTAATTCAAACTGACCTCATACTTGTAGCAACAATCCTCCTGCCTCAGCCTCCCAAGTGATGGGATTACAGGTACACACTATCATGCCCAGCTTCTACGGTTGAGTTATGAGCATGCTCACTATGGAGATGCACAGGGTCCTCTGTCTAAACACTGCCTCATGTGGTCCCTGCTGGAACCCTTTGGGAAGGGAGCTTATGGGGCAGTTTTACTTGTAATGGACTCTGAGCCCAAAGAAGAGATGAAGTTGCCTAAAATCATAGAACAGAGTAACAGGACTAAGCTGAGCCCCAAATTCTGTTACATTCCGTTACCCACCTACAAGGTCACTAGACTGAGGTTCTCCCACCAACCTATTGTCCCTTGGGCCTTTTTGGTGCATGGCAGACACAATGTTTTGCATATAGTCTTGACTTGGAGTTAGATGGAGTTACCCTGCCAGGTAGGACCCTCCAGAGGCAGGAGAGATTACCTACAGTACAGGGTTTCTCTCATGCAGTTGGCCCTGCTGGCCTCAGCAGGAGATTCTGTGTAAACATCCCAGGGAGGATATTAAAAAGATCCCCTGGGTACAGAGCTTCTCTTGCAGCCCACCTTTTTATACCAGCCCCTTGAACCACGCTAACAACTACAGCTATGATCTGGCCTAGACTGCATGGCTGTGTGGGAGAGGATACTGCCCCATTTCTCCACATCTGAGCTCGCCTGCATTATCCAGGGAGGGGAGATGGAGGGAAGAAAGGAAAGAAAGAAAAAAGGGAGAGAAAACAGGCATGTCAAATTTCAAGTCCAATGTCTTACGAGAGTCAAGACATATAAAATTGCTCTGCCATGGGGACTACAAAACATGGTGAAAAACCAAAGCCTCGTCTCCCACTCTGTACTGATTTTGCCACAGGCACGACAAGCAGTTTGTCCCCATGCCACTCACAGAGCAGTAAGAGAAGCATAAATCCATAGTCACAGCTCCAGCTCCTGTCTCTACTCAGAACGTCCTACCTCGGCAGCTCTGCAAGCCTACGTTCCTCCTCTAAAGCTCAGCTCAATGCTAATTGACTGGGGCTGAAGAGACGGCTTCCTGCTTAAGAGCAATGTCTGCTCTTGCGGAGGACCAGGTTTTGATTCCCAGCACCCGCATGGTAGCTCACAGCCATCTGTAACTCCAATTTCAGGGGATCCAAACCCTCTTTTGGCCTCTACAGCACGTACGTGGTGCACAGACATATGCATGCAAACACCCATACACATAAAATAAAATATCTAAAATTAAAAAAAAAAAAGACCCATACTTTGGGTTGGGTTGATCAATTGAAGCAAGCAGGCCTTTTGGCCAATGATTCATGACCAAGTAGCCCATTATAAACGCACTCCTCAGAGGCACGATAACAAAGTACACAAGTCAGGGCCACGAGGGGAGACCTCCCAAATAAGGATGTGGCCCCAAGCCAAGGGTCAGCTTCAACTTGGCTCCTCAGGAGCCAGGAAACTGGCCTCATAGATGCCCACACTATCAGTTATAGTTCGGGGCTGCCTGTAGGGGATCTAGGGTGTCTTTGGAGTTTAGCCACTTTGTCATTCAAAAGGGAGGCATGTACAGAGAGGATGATATCAGGTTACAAAGTACAGATCAGAGGACGAGCTCCCCATGTTCCATCATACAGAAGGGTGATTGTGGGAGGTAACAGTTAAATGTCTATTTCAAAATATTTTACCAGAGAACAATTTGAATGGTCTCATCACAAAGAAGATGAATTTATAGTATATATTGTGTAACATATATGTTATATATCTCATATATACTTATAATTATATATAACATATATATATGTGTGTGTGTATATATAGACACACATATATATATGTAGATATATAAATATATAGATATCACCCACATATATCTCTTTCTGCTGGGGAAGTGCCCAATTGTGGAATATTTGCCCAGTGTATAGGAGGCCTTGCGATTCATCCCCAGTATTTCAAAAAAGGAAAACACAAATACGCATATTTGAAAAGTGCCTCAATAAAATCTAATGCGCTACTTGTCCTGTGATTGGAGTTTAAGTAGCCACTGTGAAGCTCTAGAATTCTGAAGTTCTTTGCTGAAATGGAGCTCCCTGCGTGTCCTGTGGCCTCTCATGTTTGTGTTCTTGCTTAACCATCTGTCTCCCGACTCCACCCACCACTTCTAGCTGCAGTCTATGGTGGATCTCCTGGAGGGTGCCCTGTATAGCATGGATCTGATGAAAGTGCATGCCTACATCCAGAAGGTGGCCTCCCAGATGAATACATTGGAGGAGGTAAGGACAGAGCAGTGCCAGGGCAGCAGCCAAAGGGGTCTGGACCATGCTGTTTCACTTTGGTGGCCACAGGAAGCAGAACTCCAGCAGGGAGCTGGGAAGAGAGCTGTAGGCTGCAGAGTCCTGCCTTTGGGGAAGAAGTCTGGGGAGCTTCAAGGACTTGAGGAAGCTAAAAGCCTCTGAACAAGCAGAGGTACTCTTTGGTAATATGAAAGGAGTGTTGAGGAGTGCTGCATAACACTGGGCACCATTCACAGAGAAGTACCACATCAGTGCTGCCTCCAGGTTGCTACAACATAAGCAGGAATGATCAAACATGATCCCCAGGTTTGACATTCCAGTAGGACCTGTGTGGAAGCAAAGGCACTACAGACCACACAGGCTGTGTGTGTCACAGGATTACCCTCTCAGTACAAGAACAATTGGACAAACCTGGAGGTCCAGGCTGAAGGTTCAAGGCTTGCCTCTCTCCTGGCATTGCCTGGCCTCCACCCATTTCCTGCATCCGGCCTCTGCTGAGCACCAGGGGTCTGGGGACATGCAGCTGCCAGGAGCAGGCGTCGGGACTTCCTTTCCCAGCTTCCTTTCCAGAGAGAGGTGGTAACTGGGTATCCTGTGCCACAGGAGGGAAGACAAACCCCTGATTAAACCCAGAGCTGAAGGTCACAGTCACTTAGATTATCTGTTAGAGTGTCTCCTCCTGGCTGTCTGATCCCAGGACAGCTTGGGAAGCTGACCTGAGACTTTTTCCTGGGCACAGTATTACCTGTGCATTCCAGGCCCACACTGCTGGCTCTCCTCCTCCAACTTTTCCTCTTGTTATCTCTGGAAATGTAACCAGTTCCTCAGAGCTCTGAGTCTGCTGATTGTCTCTTTAACAAGTTTGGTTTGAGTGTGAGGATCATAATTCAGCATTACCACACCCAGCTCTGAAAAAATATTATATTAGCAGATTACTAGAGACTTTTAGGGGCCGCCCATAGAGACTGACTAAATTATGGCCTACGCATACAGTGGCATATTTTGCATTTATGAAAAGAAGTGGGGAATATTTATGAACAGATATGGAACTGTCCGAAAATAGGCTGTTAAGTGATATCCAAGTGTTGAAAAATAAGTATATACATCATATGCATATACATATACATGATACATATGATAAACAGGTTTTGTTTTTTGGGTTTTTTTTTTGTAGAGGGTCTTACTATGTGGCCCTGGCTGTCCTGATCACCCTACGTAGATCAGACTGGTCTTAAATTCACAGAGATCCACCTGCCTTTGCCTCCCTAGTAATGGGATTAGAGGTGTATACCACCATATCAGGCCTACTCACATCTTTTTCATGTATTAATATAAACATATATTACCTATTTTTCATTTATTTTCTCTTAAGAATAAAAATCACTAACTACAAGGTCTTATAGGGTGTGCTTGTTTCCACTCATTCACCAGTACCACTTATGTCTAAGACACTCAAGTCTTGATGGCCAAGTTGGGGTGACCTTCTAGAGTAGCAACTCAGAAGAAACAGGGCCTGGAATGACCATGAATCCTGCCCCACAGAGCATCAAGGCCAACCTGAGCCTGGAGAACGAGGTGGTAAAAGACAGCATACGCCACCTCAGTGAGCAACTGAAGAACTATGAGAACCAGTCAGCCATCATGATGAGCATCCAGAAGGAGCTGTCTAGCCTGGGCCTCCAATTGCTGCAGAGGGATGCAGCTGCCGTCCCTGCCACTGCCCCAGCCTCAAGCCCCGATAGTAAGGCTCAGGTGAGGCCTTGGTTCTGATCACAAGGACAGAAGGTGGCTAGGCGTGAGGACACAGGGTTGGATGTGTTTGGAGCCTTAGGAGAGGGCTAACAGAAAGCACAGCAGGAGAGCCCATGGTGTGCAGGACGAGAGCTGGGCAGCGAGTGTCTATTCCGCTTTGTGGCTTAAACTGGGCCTTAAACTGGGTATTTACTCTTATTGCCAGTTCCCAAAGTACTGGAAATGAGGTTATGGGAACCTCCTTGCCTGACCGTAGAAGAGCAAGCCAGCTTTCCTGAAGCATTCCTTCTAGTCTTTCCGGCTGTGGCTGGGCCCCTGGGTGGGTGCAGGGTAAGTGGGCAGTACCTCAGGGATCCTTGAAGACTAATATCATTTCACCCATCATGGATAGATAGTATGTATGCACAGACAAGATCCCCTTGCTCCAGTAGATCCCCTTGTTTTAGTAGATCCCCTTGGTCTAGTCTGCGTTCAGAAGTATTGCTATGATAAAGACCCTGGCCAGAAGCTGCGTGGGTCTGAAAGGGTTTAGTTTGTCTTCTAGCTCTCAGACCACACAGCATCACTGAGGAAGTCAGGGCAGGAACTTAAGGCAGGAGGAACAGAAGCAGAGGCCGTGGAGGAGCGCTGCTCACTGGCCTCTTTAGCCTGCTTTCCTACATAACCTGGACTACCTGCCTAGTGGTAGCACCACCCACTGTGGGCTACGTCCCATCAGCTCCATCATTAACCAAGAAAATGCCTCACAGACTTGGTTTACAGGCCAATCTGGTGGAGGCACCTTCTCAATTGAGATTCTCTTTTCCCAGATTGTATCAAGTTAAAGAAATAATAGCCATCACACCACTGGAGGCAGACACACTGGTCCTCCCATTTTCCAAATAGGTCAGAAAGTAAACTTCTGAGAGTGGACAGCCCATATAAACGTTCCTTCCTCTGATGGCACTCACAGCGTGCCACTTGATACGGAGTGCAGCAGGTAGTCACCCTTTTAGTGCCCCTCAGATCAGTCATCCATGGGCAGGACACGACCCGGTAGCCTCATTTTCTGGTGATGTTTTTAGGACTCCTCTGAACCCGATTTCCTCAGATACAGTATTAGTTCATCCCACAACCTGAAAGTACAATTGGTCCCTGCCTACTTGGCACAGGAAGAAACATGGAGAGAGGTCACAGGGAGAGGGGGTGGCTGAGCCAGGGCTGTAGCCAGCCTACGTGACTGTCTGGTTCCCATCCTTTCCTCCTCAACTTGCAACCTCCTGTGCTGACACTGTGGCACCTTTGGTGACTGCAAGTGGGACCCCCTAGACGCAATAGAGCATGAGGAAGCCTGAGCCTTGGCCCGAGCTGGCTGCCTGCTCAACGAGGTGCCAGCTCTGCAAGTGTGAGTGAGTGTCGCTTTGGCAGCTGCCCAGGTGGCGTCAGATACTGTACAAGCCTTATCTGCCTGAGCTTCTGTCTCACAATGGGTGGTGTCATAGGCCTTGTGTTCTTGTGCCAAGCCAGCCTCAGAGCATTTGAATAGGAAGTGAAAATAACGAGACTCACACAATGTTAGACACGGCATTCCCTAGGGGTAGCCAGACCAACATGGGACTGAAGAGCTCGGAATGCTGGGATTTCAGTGCTAACACGGGGAGCATTCTGGGTACTCTGTAAAGCAACCCAAGAACCTCTTCCTCTCCCATATACTAGACCAGTGAGTGAGAACAAGGCTAGGAGGCCTTCCTAGGAGCCAGCAAAGCAAGTAGACAGGAGCTGGGAATGAGTATGTAACCTACTGGATTGGGTCTCAAGCCTGCAGGGGAAAGCTGAGTGGAGAAACAGAGGCAAACAACTTATGGATGGTTCTACTCTGAAACTTCACAGACACTGTGACTACCTCCAACTCCCACTTCTGTGACTGCCAGTTCCTCATGTTTATTGTCATCCAAGTCTGACACTTCTGTTCTTCCCAGGACACAGCTGATGGGCAAGGCAAAGATCTCAACAAATATGGCAGCATGCAGAAGAGCTTCTCAGACAAGGCCCTTGCAAAACCTCCTTCCAAGGAGAAGCTGTTGAAAGTGGAGAAGCTGAGGAAGGAGAGCATCAAGGGCAGGATACCCCACCCCACAGCCAGGCCACGTGCCCTAGCTCAGCAGCAGGCCGTGATCCGGGGCTTCACCTACTACAAGGCAGGCAAACAGGAGGCCAGACAGGAAGCACCCAAGGCTGCTGCTGGTGAGTAGAAGAGAGCAGGGCCTGGCTGAGGGATGGCTGTCTCCAGAGATCCACCTGCCTTCTCACTGTTTACTTTGCTAGGAACCTTTGCTCAACTGGGTAGAAGCCCCTAGGCAGGGTTGCTAATGAGATAATAGAGGCCTCTCCTTCAATACTTCAGTCCTCACCTTTTCTTTTTTTTTCTTTTTTCTTTTTTTCCGAGACAGATGGTTTCTCTGTGTAGCCCTGGCTGTCCTGGAACTCATTCTGTAGACCAGGCTGGCCACGAACTCAGAAATCTGCCTGCCTCTGCCTCCCAAGTGCTGGGATTAAAGGCGTGTGCCACCACTGCTCGGCCATCCTCACCTTTTCTGCACTTCCTTTTGTTCAAAAATCTGCTGCAGGTCAGCTACAGACCAGGTGACAGATGATTTTAGACAGATTTTACAGTCCAGTGGGAGGAGCCACACCTGTGACAGTAGAGGTGGGAGAACATGGGGCCCTTGGGGACCCCGCCCACCTCTGAACTGGCCCCACCTGTTCTTTTATTTGTCATCTTCCTGAAGAAGAGCCCATGGACCCTGTACTTCACCTGCCATCTTAGTCCCTGGTATCTCCACATGACTCACAGCCACGGGCAACACAAGTAGTAGTTGTGGGGTCTTCCAAGGATAGGAAGGTGGAGTAGCTAAGAGTCCAGTATTCTTCAGGAGTTCTCTCCTGTCATGTGCAGTGGTGAAATTCCAGGTACTCAGAGGTTGAGGCAGGAGTTCAAGGCTAGTCTGAGCTACATAGTAAGAGGCTGACTTGAAACAACAAAAAAGGGCTCCCCTATATTGGACCTAGTCATTGCTAGGCAAGAGTGTTGTTCAAGCATTGTTTAAGTTCAAGGTCTCCCTGGGAAACAGTGATTTCAAGACTAAGCTAGGCAACTTACTTAGACCCTGTCTTAAGATAAAACTTAAAAAGAAGGCTAGGGGGGGCTGGAGAGATGGCTCAGCGGTTAAGAGCACTGACTGCTCTTCCAGAGGTCCTGAGTTCAAATCCCAGCAACCACATGGTGGCTCACAACCATCCGTAATGAGATTGGATGCCCTCTTCTGGTGTGTCTGAAGACAGCTACAGTATATTCATAAATAAAGTAAATAAATAAATCTTTGAAAAAAAAAAAAAGAAGGCTAGGGATATAGCACGATAGAGACTATAGATGGTTAGGTAGGTAGATAGATAGATAGATAGATAGATAGATAGATAGATAGAGATAGTAGAATGCTTATCTAACAAGTTCAAGACTTTACTTAGGTTAAATTCCCACCACAGATATTGTTGAGATGGCTCAGTCAGTACTTACCTCAAAAGCATAAGGACCCAAATATCATATCCAAAAAACATATTTAAAAAAAATACTAGGTGTGGTAACACACACTTGTTTTGTTGCTTGTTTGGGGTTTTGTTACTTATATTTTTATTTTATCTTCATTGGTGGTTTGCCTTCATATATGTCTGTGGGAAGGTATCAGATTTCCTGGTACTATTGTTACAGACAGTTGTGAGCTGCCATGTGGGTGTCAAGAATTGAACTCAGGACCTCTAGAAGAGCAGCCAGTGTTCTTAACCGCTGAGCCATGCCATCTCTCTAGCAACCCCTTCCCCCTTTAAATAATTGTTTTATTTTTTAAAGATTTATTTATCTTATATGCATGTTTGTGTGAAGGTGCCAGATTTCCTAGAAAGGAAGTTCAGACAGTAGTGAACTCCACATGGGTGTGGGACTAGACCCCAGGTCCTCTGGGAGATCAGTCAGTGTTCTTACCGCTGAGCCATCTCTGCAGCCCTGTAGCACACACTTGTAAAACCAGTTCTGGGAAGGCAGAGACCAGAAGATGCCTCAGGCTCACTGGCCAGCCAGTCTAGCCTAACTAGTTTTCTCAAAGGAGGTGGATAGTATTTCTGAGGATGATACCTAAAGTTATCCTCTGCCTTCCACACATATGCACACATGTGTGCACCCATACATAAACATGGGTATATATATATACATTCATTTAAAACACACACACACACACACACACACACACACTGGAAAAGAAAAGGTCTCTTAATTTCTTAGTCCTTCAGGGTACAACCTCCCCCCAAGTCCCTGATGCCAGCTGCTGTCCTTGCATCCTGTCAACTCAGTCTGGCCACAGCACAGAGCCTCTGACCCCCGGCTGGGCCACTGCCCAGGCACAGCTTTGGGCATCTGACTCTGCCAAGAAGACTCGTGGGAATGAGCTTCCTACCCCAACAGGCTGCCAAGGCTATGTTCCCTGTGGATTCCCTGACTAACGTGTCTTTGCTTGTTCCCACTAAGTCCCAGGTATGGGGTCAGACTGGCCTGTCCAACTACAGGCAAAGAGAAGCCTGGGGAGCTAAGCCACTGCCAGCAATGATGGGACAGGGAGGGTACAGACAAAGCTAGAGAGGTAAGTGTTGGAGGTGAGCAAGGGTCAGAAGCAGGACTAGAGATCTGTGGCCTAGAAGTGACCAGAGACCGGCTGCATCCATCGCTTCCTCGCTTGAGGTGATAGACACTAGATGAAAGAGGCTCAAGGTTATCAAGGTCCCCAGGAAGGTGACCAAGATAAAGCCTATAGTTTCCAAAGCAAGAAGTTTTGCCCCTGGAACTAAGTTTAGAGCATGACAGAACTGGAACAAAGTACGTAGCAATCAGGAGAAAAAGAACTTTGAACTTAGCACCACCTGTTTGCAGAGTCAGTACAGGTGTTTTGTCCTGTCCAGCAGGACATTAAACAGGGGTCTGGGGAGGTCACCTGAAAGAGAGTAGGGGGAGCAGGCAAAGACGAAAGGAATGACGACCTGTCTATAATCTGATCAGATCGTAATTTTTACTTTTGCACACACAGGTTATATACACAAAAAGGCAGAATGTGGGGAAGGGGATGACGCAGGAGTGTGGGTGTTCAGGGGGAATACAGATCTCTTCCAGAACAGAGTGTCAGCTGGGTGAAGGTTCAGGGGACAGACCACTATGACTTTGCCTATGATTCACTTGTACTTATCTAAGTTGGTACTATCCACCAAGGTTACCCATCTACAAGGCCTTATGACTAGGCTTGGCAGCCTTCCACCAAAGCTGTCTGTTTACAATAACTCCCAGCTATCTGTTTCATTGTCTTTCCACAGAGACCCAATACTTGGTGCTAGCAGGCATGTATGTCAGGCCTATTGCTGATTTTAGGCCTAATGGCTGATTTTAGATCTTCAGTGTATAAGCAGGGCTGCTTCCAACAGTGTTTTATATACATTTACCTCTAATCAACACTATGATTGGGACACTCATTTTACAGAGGTGGGAATACAAGAGGGCTTGCTCAGTAAAAACTCACCCAGTCTGGGAGGTCAGAAAGATCAGAAAGTCCTACCCTGTTCACTAGGAAGCCCACCCATTTGAAGCTTTTCAACTCATCCATGGTCAGAGAAGCGAAGTCTGTGGCAGACATGTGTATCAGCGCAGCTGAGACACTGGCACTGAGTTGTTTTTTTTCCACAGACAACACCCTCAAAGGTACTTCCTGGCTGGAGAAGTTACCACCCAAGATAGAGGCCAAGCTTCCGGAGCCTAACTCTGCCAAACATGATGACGTCAGGTTGCAGGCTTCAGAAGGAGCCAACTTGGTCCCTGATATCTCCACCACCACCACCGCCACCACCACCACCGCCACCACCACCACTACCAGCACAACCACTACCAGCACTACAGCCACTGCCACCACAACCCCAACCCCCATCACCACTCTCTGGCCCACTGAGCCACTTTTGCATCCAGAAGTCCCCAGCCAAGGTGAGTGAATCTCCTAAGCATCAGAAAATTCAGTTAAAGACTAAATCCAGCACATATCTTGTTAGGTTCTTGATCCACGAACGTTTAGCTTTATCAAATTGTTGAAGGTTTTTATTTGTTTGCTGTTGTCTTGAGTTTTTGTTATTTTGAGACAGGACATCAGCAGAGCTTACACCCTCCTGCCTTAGCATCCATAGTGTAGGATCGTGGACATTTGTCAACCTGCCTGGCTTACTTGGAAATTTTAGTTTTTAATTTTTTTTAAAGAAGACATGTGTGTGTGTGTGTGTGTGTGTGTGTGTGTGAGAGAGAGAGAGAGAGAGAGAGAGAGAGAGAGAGAGAGAGAGACAGACAGACAGAGACAGAGACAAAGAGAACCACAGAAAGAGACAGAGAGAGGGAGAGAGAGACAGAGAGAGAGGGAAGACAGAGAGCAACAGAAAGAGACAGGGAGAGAGAGACAGGGGAGAGAAAGACAGAGAAAGAGAGAAAGAAGAAAGAGAGAAAGAAGAAAGAGAGAAAGAAGAAAGAGAGAAAGAAAAATCCCTTTTTCTGTTGTTGTTGTTGTTGTTTTTTCCGAGACAGGGTTTCTCTGTGTAGCCCTGGCTGTCCTGGAACTCACTCTGTAGACCAGGCTGGCCTCGAACTCAGAAATCCACCTGCCTCTGCCTCCCGAGTGCTGGGATGAAAGACGTGCGCCACCACTGCCTGGCGAAATCCCTTTTTCTATCTTTCCATCAGTCCTTTTGTGGCAGGGTCTCACTATGTAGACCAGACTGGCCTCAAACTCACAGAGATCCACCTGCCTCTCCTTTCCAGATGCTGGGATTAAAGGTATATGCCACCATGCCTGGCTTCTATTCCAGTTTTGAGACAAGGTTTCTCCCTAAACATGTGGTTTGTGTTTTCTTAGCTCAGCAGAAAGCCAGAAAATTCCACTGAATCTCCTGTCTCTATACCCCTCAGAGCTAGGGTTACAGGTGTTTGGGGGATCCCTACTTGTTTCGAGGCTGCTGAGATCCAAACACAAATTGTCAAGGTTGTGCAGCAAGCATTCAGCTGCTGAGTTATCCTTCCAGCTCATGTGTTTTTAAAGAGTTATTAGGAAAAAGAGTGCGGGGAAGACATCTGCCCTCTCTCCCAGCCTAACAGTTATCCCAGAATCCTCTACAGAAAAACTGCCAACATTTGAAGTGGCTATGAAATAAATTACATTTGTAACAAATTCTCTTTACAATATGACTGGGGAACCTCATCGAAAAATCCAGCCACTGTTAGTTATTGCTCGTCATGTCCTCTCTGCAGTCTGCTGTGTTTTGGTTTCAAGACGTTAGACCTGAGCTCTTGGCTTCCAGCTGCATCTCTGAACTACAACTCCAACAGACTTTGGCTGGTTTTGTGTCCACATTTATAGCTGTAGTTTGTGTCACACAGTAGATGTTGTCCTCAGTAAATCACAGCTCTGTCCTTCTGAAAGGGCTCTTGACTGTGTGATTGGAAGCCTTCAGACCCTTCCTTCCTAACTCTGGACCAAGTGCCACCTCCTTCACACTTGTCTTTCCAGAAGGATCCACAAACAATGTGGACAACAGCTGCAAACTAATGTGCTTTCCTCTCAACACACTTTCTGGTGTCAGAAAACTGGAAATAACCTACAGAGCTGACACTGGGAGTGGGAGGGGGGGTGTTGAATAAATTAAAAGGCACAGCTGTCTGGTGGCCTGGCAGGAACTAGAAGTCACATCATTAAAAGGCTATTTAATGAGCATCAGACAGTAGGAGAACACAGGACACACAGAACCATGTATTCAGAGGGATCTCGGTTTCTTAACAGTCCATGTGACTGCATGCAAGGAACATCGAAAGGAGAGGAAGCGCACCGAGTTCAATTGTGTACTAGAGACCATCTTAGGGCCTCCCTCCCTCCTTCCTTCTTTTTTTCTTTCCTTCCTTTTTGAGACTGGGTCTTGCTATGTAGCTTGAGTGGCCCGGTGCTATATAGCCTAGGCTGGCCTCAAATTCACAACAAAGGCTATCTTCCCACCTCAGCCTCTACAATGCCAGGGTTACAGGCATTCTCCACAACACCCAGCTTCAGTTTTCAAGTATGCAGAAATACTGTGATGAACTCATCTCTTCTTCTGAACTATATGTTTGAAGCTTTGGCCAAAATCTTTCAATCCTATTATTGCCCACCATTGTACTCTCTGCTTCTCAGAGATGGGCCCTTTTGTTTTGTTTTGACATACGGTAGATACTGAATTTTTGAATGGTGTACATCTCATCTGTTCCCTCCTCTGAGTGTTTATGCTTTTTCCAGTGATAAGGCATTGCTTTGCTCATAGGCCAAAGGTCACCAGCAAAACCATCAAGAGAGAGTTAAGATGAAACGGATAAGTCAGGTATAGTGGTGCACACTTTTAATCCCAGCACTCAGGAGGTAGGCAGATCTCTGAGTTCAAGTCCAGGCTGATCTACAGAATGAGTTTCAGGATAGCCAGGTCTTTATAGAGAAACCCTGTCTCAAAACAAAACAAAGATGGTACAGTGGTTTGAACAAGTGTGGCCCCTATATACTCCTGTGTTTGAATGCTTGGCCCATAGGGAGTGGCACTGTTAGGAGGTGGCCTTGGAGGAAGGCTACTGTGGGATGGGCTTTGAGCTTATATATGCTCAAGTTATGCTCAGTGTGGCACACAGTCTCCCTTTGCTGCCTGCAGATCAAGGTGTAGAACTCTCAGCTCCTCCAGCCCTATATCTGCCTGCACACTGCCATGCTTCCCACCATAATGATAATGGACTGAACCTCTGAAACTATAAGCCAGTTCCAATTAAATGTTTAATGAGTTACCTAGGTCACGGTGTCTCTTCACAGCAATGAAACCCTGACAAAGATAGGTGGATTTGGATCACCTTCCTAGACCAACTCTTTTAGCTTGCAGTTAATGGTTCTGCGTACCAAATGCTGTGTCCTTTGCTCCCCACAGGTAGGGATGACAGCTGTGAGGGCACTCTCCGAGCTGTGGATCCTCCTGTGAAGCACCACAGTTATGGGCGCCATGAGGGGGCTTGGATGAAGGACCCTGCAGCTCGAGATGACAGGATCTATGTCACCAACTACTACTACGGAAACAGCCTGGTGGAGTTTCGAAACCTGGAAAATTTCAAACAAGGTCAGGGAAGCTGGGAGGAAGAGGGGGGAGGATGTGGGTGGCCTGGGGAGGGGCTCCCATAAGATTCCACCATCCTGTGCGTTTTCAATGTCCACCCTGCCCTAGTTCCAGATAGCCACTCCCACCCCAGGGAAGAGTGTCTGGGGGCTGCTGCTGATAACTGAGTACAGGGGCAAAGGAGATAGATGTCCTGCCTCTGGAATGTGACTTGCTATCAAGAATAGTGAGTTTCCACATGCTAAGTGTTCTGTGCCAACTGTCTATGTATGTCTGTCTCAGTTAGAGTTTCTATTGCTGCAATGAAACACCATGACCGAAGAAACTCAGGGAGGAGAAAGTTTATTTGACTTACACTTTCATATCACTGTTCAGCATCAAAGGTCTTGAGGACAAGACCTCAAGCAGGGTAGGGACCTGGAGGCAGGAGCTGATGCAGAGGCCAGGAGGGTGCTGCTTACTGGCTTGCTTCACATGGTTTGCTCAGCCTGCCTGCCTTTCTTCCTTTCTTCCTTTCTTCCTTTCTTCCTTCCTTCCTTTCATTCTTTCTTTCTCTCTTTCTCTCTTTCTCTTCTTTTTTGTTTTGTTGTTATTTGTTTGTTTGTTTGTTGTTTTTTTTGAGGCAGGGTTTCTTGGTGTACCCCTGACTGTCCTGGAACTTGCTCTACAAACCAGGCTAGCCCCAAACTCGGAGATCTGCCTGCCATTGTTTCCTGAGTGCTGGGACTGTACATGTGCACCACCACTGCCCAGCTGCTAACATCCTTTTTAAAACTGATTATGTCTGTGTCGTAGCAGCTCACAGATTGGTAGATATGGTCAAAGTGTCAAGATAAAGGGTTAGGGGAAAGCCCTTCACTATATCCCAGGGAGGTCACATTGGCTAAGGACACTGAAAGACAGGTAGGCATTCCCTGTACAGATCAGATGGGGAATAGCAAACCTGACTTAAGGAACAGCATATGCAAAGCTTCCAAGACAGACCACAGGGCTGGTATCACCCTGCACCTCATTCCTAGGTACCAGTGTCACAACTGGGAACCCAGAGCTCAGAACTCACAGACACACAGAGGATGTTGGTGCTTCCTTCATGACACCATCTTTGTGAACTAGATGATGGACTTAGGTCCAGCCACATGATCAAATTTTGGTGAAAAGTACTTTTTTGGGCACTGGTGAGCCCTCAGTGGTCTCTGTGGTGAATAGGTGATGTTCTAGTTTGCTTTCTGTTGCTGTGATAAACACCATGACCTGAAGCAACTTGAGACCGAAAGGGATTATCTCATACTTTCAGGTAAGAGTCCATCACTGAGGGAAGTTGGGGCCAAGAAATCAAGGCAGGAAGCCCTGAGGAGCACTGCTTACTGGCTTGCTCTCTCATTTGTTCAGAAAGCTCATCCAGCTTCCTTGTGTTTTGTTGGTGTTTGTTTTTGTTTTTTGAGACAAGGTCTCATTATATAGCTCTAGCTGCCTTGGAACTCATTCTGTACATCAAACATGCCTCAGTCTCACAGAGATCCAACGAGATCCACATGGCTCTGCCTCCCACATGCTAGGATGATTACAGGCATATATCACTACACCTGGCCCAGCTAGCCTTCTCATACAGCCCTGGCTACCTGCCAGGCATGGAACCACCCACAGTGGGCTAGACCCTCCATCATCAAGCAAAACAATCTCTGGCAGATAGGACCACAGGCTGGGCAGTTCCTCTAGGTTGTGTCAAACTAACCAGAACAGAGTACCCTGGTATGACCCTCCACTTTCCATACGCAGGCCGATGGAGTAATATGTACAAGCTGCCCTACAACTGGATAGGCACAGGCCATGTTGTGTACCAGGGTGCCTTCTACTACAACCGTGCCTTCACCAAGAATATTATCAAATATGACCTGCGCCAACGTTTTGTGGCCTCCTGGGCCCTGCTGCCTGACGTGGTCTATGAGGACACCACACCCTGGAAGTGGCGTGGCCACTCGGACATTGATTTTGCCGTGGATGAGAGTGGCCTGTGGGTCATCTACCCGGCTGTGGATGAGCATGATGAAACACAGCATGAGGTGATCGTGTTGAGCCGCCTGGATCCTGCAGACCTCTCTGTGCACCGGGAGACCACGTGGAAGACACGGCTGAGGAGGAACTCCTACGGGAACTGCTTTCTGGTGTGCGGCATCCTCTACACCGTGGACACTTACAACCAGCATGAGGGCCAGGTGGCTTACGCATTCGACACCCACACGGGCACTGATGCTCACCCACAGCTGCCCTTCCTCAATGAGTATTCCTATACCACCCAGGTTGACTACAACCCCAAGGAGCGGGTACTCTATGCCTGGGACAATGGCCACCAGCTCACTTACACTCTCCACTTTGTGGTCTGAGTGGGGACCTATGTTCACACGTGAGGGCAACAGAGGTGAAGAGGCTATCCCTAGCAACCCTTGTATCTGATATAAGTATCAGCTGGGGAGCATCCTGGCCCTCCCTCTGCAGCTACTTGTGCCCATATTCCTTGCACATTTTTCAGCAGATGAGAAGGTATAGGCAGCTCAGCTCTGGCAGTTTGGGGTGCTGGCCTGAGCTTCCCCCATCTCAACTCCTGTACCACAGCCCTCGCCTTGGCCATCCTCGTCTCCCTCCTTAGCCCTTCTCAAAGCCTTGGGCCTGGGGTCTTTTCTGGGCCTTCAAAGCTATTCTCTTCACTCTCAGGGATTGCTAGGAATAAGGCCTTTGTCCCCAGAGAGGGTAGCCCCAAGATGGACCAGGCTCTGACTCCCTTGCCAATCTTAATCTGGTCATTTGGTGGGCTGATTCAGCAGCCTGGGAATCTGAGGGAGACAGGACAGGGGGTTCAGAAAACACTTCTCAGTTTGCAGGACAAAACCCAGAGGTAGAGGCAGGGGGTTGGACTGGGGTCTCGGTACCAGGATTTTCTTTGAGATGAGACTTGGGATTGTGGACACACAAGTGAAAATATACAAGCTACCTTAAAATAGGATTGGCGGCTAGCTGCCCTGGTGCCACTTGTGGCCCCTAGAGCCTTCAGACCCAGATAGCCCTGAGATCAAGACCTTTCAAGCCAGCCTATGGCAGCTTTGGGCATTTTTTTTTTAAAGTTGGAGAGTTCTTTTGCCCATCTCCTTGTTTTACCAAAGAAAATATAGGTCTCAACGGCTCCAGGGTATAGGTGGAGCCATACTGGGCGGGGTGTAACTGATTTTCTTTGGTAGAGCCCTATACTGAGACAGCTCTGCTTGCAAAAGCAACAGATCCCCAGCACCTTTAAAGATGTCTACTGTTGACCCCTGCCCTGCCCCTGGATCCTGGACACTTGTGCCCTGTCCCCACTCTTACCTGAAGTGACATACCAATTTATGAAATCTCACTGTGCAGTACTAGGTAGGGAAATTTAGGTTCTGTGCAGAGTTCAGACTTGCTTTCTTCCAGACATTGTTGGGTGATGCTTTGCTTAAGGAATAGCTCACTCCTGAAATAAAGAGGGACAGTGACAGCCGGCCCAGCCAGGTCTGACTCACAGTGGTAGCTACATCCAGCTTCCCCCACCCAGCTGGCCACCACAAGCTTCTCTTCCAGCCTCTTCAGAGCACTTGGAGGCCCCGGCCTTTCCCTTGGCCCTGGGTGTGGGTCTTTTCAAGACTTTGCTTTGTGATGTCATAGCCTAACCATGTGAGAGGTGCTCAGGCAGCTAGCTCTGCAGCAGCCTGAGAAAAGAGAACACTAGGACACACTGGTTTTGAAAAGTAAACATGTGGCATAGATTCCTGGGGTGGGACAACAGGGCCTGCCATAGTCCCCAGTTGTCCTCCAGGCCCCTTCTGTTTGCAGGCTTTTGTGTGTTGTATGGTAAACATAGTTCATTTCCTCATTTGTAAATGGTCATACTGGATCCCAAGTAACTTACTGGTCACATAGGCTGGTAATGGAAGAGCCAGGTTTCCAAATCAAGTAAGCTGTCACCGTTATCTGGATCTTCAGATAACGGTGTGCTGGACATACTGTAGAAAGTAAACTACCAAAGGGACTACTGACAAGTGAGGACAATGACAGGAATTTACTCAAGATTACATAGCAGTTGTAGTCTGTGGCAAGGCTAGGGGTTCAAGGCTCAGAGCATGCTTCCTGATGTCTTTGTGCCATGCTAGTAACAAGTTCCAAAAGTGCTGGTAGTTGCAGTCATTCAAGATGGCCAGGGCAAGAGCTTCCCCAAAGGCCAGCTTCTACAAAGCTTTGAGTACCAAGCCAAGGAGTGGTCATATCTAGCCTTGTCTAGAACAGAACTGTGTAAATTAACAGAGCCAAGGGAATCCTGACACGGTTTCTAATTAGATTTTGTTGGTGCTAAGCACGTAAAAGGTCGTGTTAAGGAGCCTGAATCTGCCAATTTGTGAGCTCTAAAGGAAACCTGGCTCCCACTACCACACATGCAAACACATACACAGACACCTTCACACACCTACCACATACACACCACACACATACACTGTACGCATATTCACGCTCATACACTCACATACCATATATACACATGTGTGCACTCACACATACCTTGGGTTGAATTTTTCTGGGCGTCAGATACTTTATAGAAGGAGGGGTAAGGACTGTACAGAACTGCTCACTGACTGCTTTTATAATGACAAAACATCCCATGCCTCTGAACAACTCTACAGGGGAAAGGGCTTTGGCTTTCATCACTGATTCCTCTTTGGAGATTGTTAGCCTTGAGTGGTACTTGACACAACCGGAGACCCAGTAGAGAATCTTACTCTCCCTCTTGCATCAAAGACTCAGTGCAGGCCCCTGCGTGATTGTCAGAGTCCTAGGGAATCAGGAGCCTGGGTTAATTTGCAGTTGGTCTCCATGCTGTCCCTCCCTCTCAGGCTAGGTAGGTATTAACTCCCTCACAGAGGTGGGACCAAGGCTCAGTGAGAAGAGAAGACTTTAGGAGAGCTCACAGCACCTCCCAGAACTGGAAGTCACTTTGACCTGCAGTCACACAAAACCACCCTGCAACCCCCAAAATGGCAATATTTTCTCTCATTGTAGGTTACAAACCTTGAGTTCAGAGAGGCTTAGTGACTTGGTCAGGGTTGGGTATCTGGCATATGGAGGTGAGATCTGAACTAGATTTCTTTAAACCAAAGCCTCCAACTAACTGTTAAAGTAGTTGTGGGTTTTGTTGTTGTTTGTTTGTTTGTTTGTTTGTTTTTTCTTGGTTTGGGACAATAGGAAGCTCAAAGACAAGTTTGAGATTATTTTAAACGCTTGTATGGAGTTTAACCACCTTCATTCTAGCTTTGTGGATGTACCTTTACCCTGGTTTATTTTTATTGTACTGTATTTTTTATCTATTTTTGTAAGGTGTCACATGATCTTTTTTGCAACAGGGTAGCATATACATAAATAAAACCCATGACTATAGCTGGATGTGGTGGTGCATGCCTTTGGTCCATGCACCTGGGAGGTAGAGGTAGATAGATTTCTGAGTTCAAGTCCAGCCTGGTCTACAAATCAAGTTCTAGGACAGCCAGAGCTACAAAGAGAAACTCTGTCTCAAAAAGAAAAAAAAATTTTTTTTAATGTACTGAAAGCTTGATTTAAAATCTTAAGTACTGTGGACTACGACCTAGGGGTAGCTTCATGGTAGAGCACACACCTAGGGTGTGTGAAGGCCTGAGTCTGTTTCCAGCATCAAACAGCTAAATAAATAAATAAAATGTTTCTGGGTCTGTGTAGCCCTGGCTGTCCTGCAGCTCCCTTTGTAGACCAGGCTGGCCTGGAACTCACAGAGATCCACCCGCCTGCCTCTGCCTCCTGAAGCCATCACTGCCCGGCTTTAATAACTTCTTTTTGACCCAGGCTGGTCTCAAACTTTGTATGCCTCAAAGGATGGCCTTGAATTCCTGATTCTCCTGTCTCTTGAGTGGATTGCAGACATGAGCTACTGTGTCTTACTGTATATTTGTCCTCGTTAGGTTTGTGTTGGTGGGATAAAAACATAATTAAAACACAAAGAAACCCTGTCTCGAAAAACCTTTAAAAAATAATTTAAAAACACTTGTAGAGGAGAGGGTTTATTTCACCTGCATGTCCGTGTCCAGGTAACAGCTTATCACTGAACAAAGCCACAGAAAGACTCAAAGAAAACCTGGAGGCAGGAACTGTGCACGAATGCTGACTGGCTTGCTCAGCTTCTTACATAGCCCAGGGTGGCTCCGCCTACAATGGCCTAGACCCTCCCTCACAATCCTTAATCAGGAAAAAACTTTCCCTATCTTCCTGGAGAGCCAAGGGCAATTACATTACTCCGCCCAAGTTTTAGGTGGGTTCTGAGATCCAGTCTCCAATCTGCAGGCCTGCATGGCCAGTGATTTTTCAAACTGAGCCTTCTTCCCAACCCCCTGCTTCTCTATTTCTTACAAATGCTTCCTTCCATTCCTTTTATGGAAATACTTTTAGTTCCCAAATAAGCTTTTATAAGCTGTTAATTAAAGCAATTGTTTTTAATTTTAAAGAGAAAACTTAATTTCACAGTAGTAAAAAAGAAAGCTGGTGTCAATGAGCCCAAACAGACACTGGCTGTAAGCCACTTGAATTTGGGCAGTGCTATGACATTCTAACTGGTGTTTTTTTGGCAGACCAACGTCCTGCCCTGTGTTTAAAAGGAAGGTAATGAGTGGGGCTCTTAGTGATGGAGCACTTGATTATCATTCCCTAGGTCCTGGGCTTCACCCCCAGCACTGCAGAAAAAAAGTCAAAGAAAGACTAGTCAGATAGTTCTACCAGTAAAAGTGGTTACCAGAGGTAATTGGTGTGGTAGAATTGCTGTCTGTTGGAAGATCTTGAAGGGAACTGAAATGGGTGGGCAGGTGTTGGGATGGAGAGGAGATCAGGGTGGGCAGACATATTCAGCAGACTGGACCCCTCCCCACAAGCAAGTCCTGACTCTGTCATGGGGAGAAATCCTACAGAAGGGATGGTGAGGATCAGCCACTGATGGGGTATGGAAGCACTGGGCCGGAATTCAGTTACCAGGCATCACCTGAGCTTCCATGATGAGGCAGGAGCCTTTAAGGTCAGTGTTCGCACTGTGGGAACTGTGAAGAACCTGTCGTGAGGTGCTGGGTGAGAGGAAGTATAGGCAGAGAGAAATAAGGAGGAGGGGAAAGGCTGTGAAGTGATACACACTGTGTGCTCCTTGTCCACCTCCTGAGCTCTGTGGTCCTGAGCTAAGGTGATCTGCTGCGGTCTTCTGAGGCACTGCTGGGTCCAGGACTAAGGGTAGACAGTTTCTTCAGCTCGGTCAGGTAGCTAGCAACCAGTACTGAACACATTCAAGATAATAGGGCTCCTATCTAGAGAGACCCCCACCCTACTCTCTGTTAAGCTGTAGATTGGTCCCCCACTCTCTGTTGAGCTGTAGATTGGTCCC